CAATCTTTTCTCCATTGCTAAGAATGTTGTTTACTGGTCCAGTGGTGAGGATTTTTGTTTTCTTTACATTAAGATGTTATCCATACCAAAGGCTGTGCTCTTTGGTCTTCATCACTAAATGAAGGTAGGGCAAAAACAAAGGGAAACAGTTGAGCTCAGGAATGGGGGCACGAAGAAGAGGCCTCCACTCTGTTGGATAACCCATGTGCAGGTGTGCAAGGAGGGGCAACCTCAGACTGGTGGGAGGGTGGGGCTCTGAGTGCAAGACTGTACCTGCTCCAAAGTTCCCCTTTCCTTGGTATTAAAATCCAGATATGAGATATGAGAGCAATTCATCCAAACCCTAATTACTGGACACTGGGGACATTATCTGTATGGGGAAAATGCAGTGAGGCAGAGGCAGGGAGACACAAATACTGCACAAGTAGTATTCCAGTTGTGCTATTTACTTTATATAGGCTACCTGCCCAGGGTTCCACACCTAAAGTGTCAGAGCCCTAATTTACCCCCGGAACTGTCTGACTCTATCCACTATTTCCAACAAAAATGGAAGCTCTTTCTAGCATTTGGACTTGGGGTAAGATGTGAGGGGAGACAGTAGTTCTAACTTCTTGGCACTGGGAGCATCATGCCTTCCAGGTCACATTGTCCAATTGTTTTTATTGCCATCATGTCAGTTCGAATCATAGTGACCCTATGTAGGGTTTCTGAGGCTGCCAATCTTTATGGAAGCAAAAAGCCTCACCATTCTCCCTCAGAGCAGCTGGTGGGATCAAACCTCTGTTCTTGTGGTTCAAAGTCCGGTGCTTATCCTACACTCCAAACACTACTAACCATGCTGAGTCTAATTTCTTTTAAAACTCAACTCCTTTACTGTGTTGTTGTTAAGTACCATAGAGTCGGTTCCGACTCATAGTGACCCTGCACAGAGTTTCCGAGGTTACAAATCTTTATGGGAGCAGAAAGCCTCATCTGTCTCCCGCGGAACAGTTTTTGAACTGCTGACCTTGAGGTTAGCAGCCCAATTCATAACCACTACGCTACCAGAACTCCTTTACTGTACTACCAACATTTTAGGTGCTGATTTTCATTGCACACCTGCACCTGGCCATGGGTGAGACAGAAATCCTTTAAGTCTTGATTTATTTGTGGTTGTTTTCTGTTCCCCCGTACAGCCCCTTAATCTCAGCATGCCCCCTATTTTTGGACTGTAACTAGTCTGAACTTCTCTAATTTAATAATATGCCTTCTCCTTCGTATTCAGACCTGGTTTCATGATTTTAAAAGGGAAAGGGATGAAGACCCATGTGGGCGTTGCAGTGCTCAGTGAAGTTGGTGGCTGTGACAGTGGAAGAAGCTAACAGGAAGCCTGACACCTGACACCAATTGTGGCAACCTTGGTAGACATATCACACCATCCCCAACCCCTTCACCTAGGGTGTCAAATACCAACTTCATCCTAGTGAGATTAGATAATGGGTTAGACCCTGTGTAGGGTGTCCCAGGCTGTGTGAACATACAGTGGTTTCTTCCAGGGGCTCCTGGGTGGGTGTCTCACCCACCTCAGTATTAGGGTCAGCCTGGTCACCTTGGAACCTCACACATCTGTCTCTGAGAGGCCAGTCCCTGGTATCAGGGAGTGGCACGCTGATGAATTTGCATGGGGAGCCAAAGCTGCACCATTAAGCCCCAAGTCCCACACAGCTGTGTGATTGATCATCATTAAGCAGGTCACTTATGGAAGATGACATTCCCACCTACGGAATTCTCCAGATTCTGTCCAGAGGGCTCTGTCCTGCCAGCTCAAGATGAGTGACACCATGCATGAACCCATGCAGGTGAAAGTGGGTCTGGATGAACCTCAGACACTCAGTCCCCTGGCAGGCAGGCAGGCAGGCTGGGTAAGGGCAACTTCAGAGAGCCAGGGAGGTATAAGGGGTGGGGCTGATCAGACGTGCTGAGTGATCCTACAGGTGTAAACACTGACCCCCTATTCCAGCTCAGCTCTTGATGGTCAACTGGGCAGGGCATGGGACAAGGTATTGGAGGATGGGTTATCAGATGTCAGACCATGGAAGGATGAGGGGTACAATGCTGTATGGGAACTCTGAGTTTTACGCAGCCCCTCAATGTGTACTTCTGGGAGGCCACAATAATTAGAGCTTTTGCCAAGTGGAAAAGCTTAAACGAGATCTGAATGAGTGACAGACGTCAGCTGAGTCCCAGCCGCTGCCAGTGAAGGCAGCCCGGGATCCAGAGGACTGGGCCATCTCCCTCCTACAGGTCACACTGAATCCTGCACCCTCTGCCAGACTCTCCTCCATCTGGGAAGACCTGGTCCAAGACCATGGCCTGCTTGAGAGCCCTGGGTCTTCTGTAGGTGGCCAGAGCCATGGTGACCCTGCCTTGAGAACATGACCACTGGGTGGTTGCAAGTTAAGGGGATAGCGGAGAGACGATGATTACTTGACTTAGAGAAAAGAGAACACTACCCCACACCCCCCTCCAAACACATATATACACACATGCCACATACACACATACCACACACATGCACACACATATACACACACATACACCCATATACACACACACCACACACATACCACACACACATACACACACATACCACAGACACCACACACATACACACATACCACACACACACATACATACCACACACACCACACATACACATACCACACACACCAAACACACATACACACACACCACACACACATAGACACACATACACACATACCACACACATACACACACATACATGCATACCACACACATACACACACCACACACACATACACACACATACATGCATACCACACACATGCACACACCACACACACACACACCACAATACATGCACATACCACACACACATACATGCACATACCATACACATACACACACCACACACACATACCACACATAGACACACACACACATAAACACACACATGGGGCCGGAGTCACTATGCTCACAAAAAGGCCCCTTTTCTGTCCTGGGGCCAATGGGTGGGTCCCTCAAACTCACAGACCCAGGGTAGAGGGAATTGGAAAGGACTGCAGACCACATGTAACTGACAAGACTTCATTTTCTCTCAAAAGCCCTGGGGCTGCACACCTATGGATGCAGTAGCTCAAAAGAGGGAACAAATCCTTACAGCAAGAATCATTCCCACCCCCTCCACACACAGAGTAGACAAGGGATGGGCAACTTGGACATTGGCTACCCAAAATGGGGGGTGGGGGGGCTGCAAAGGCAAGAAGTGACTGGCTTACAAGCTTTCAGGAGGGAACCTAGATCCAGAGGGCCTGGAGGAAAGTAGAATCTCCAGTGAGTAGCATCCAATCTGAATAGGCGGGGCTGATGCAATGAAATGTAGACGGGTCTCTTGTGATACAATAGTGAATAATTGTTATCAGGACTGATTGTGAGGGTCGGAAATGTAAAGGTAGACATTTTATAGCAAGGAGGGGCGTGATTAACTTTTCAGTCTAGGAGCGGAGGTCCCTAGGACCATCAAGGGAGAAGAGCAGAGAGTGGGACTCTACCCAGAGAAGCAGTGATGCCTGAAATGGAGGCAGAGATGATGATGTGGAGCAATGGAGCTGATGGAGACTTTAGATCCAGAGAGGGAGAGGGGCTGTGTGCTGACGACTGGGGGGTACGGGGGAAGGATTGCATGGAGGGGACTGTAACCATGGCAATGAGACGATATTTGATAGAATGAATATAAAACTAATGTTCTCCCATGTAAACTATCACATAATTCACAATAAAACATTAAAAAAAAAAAAAAAAAGCCCTGGGGCTGGTGAGGGGCCCAGTGGGACAGGCACAGGGACAATCCCCAAGCTACCAAACTTCAGCAGAGATCACCAACGTATGCCTTCGCCCTACCACACAGGCCCAACTGAGGTCAAGTCCCCTACACACAACAATGGACAGTGAGACACCCAGGCTTGGAGTCTCATCTAAACTTTCCTTCTTCCAAAATATCTGTCCAGTGGCCACTAAGCACCCAGCGCTGCTCTGGGCACTGGGGCTATGCTGACCCCTCTCCAAACAACTCTGGCTTCCAGTCCATGGTTCTCAGAGTGACTGACAACCTGAGTCACATCTAACTAACTTGCATCTCTGTTCTACCCGCCAACTTCCGCCCTTCCTCCCTGGGGTGCCACCTGAGGGGTACACTAGGAGGCTTTTGGCCCAGCAGAGACACACCAGGTTCCAGGGACAGAAGGCCTGGTCTTCCCGGCTCCTCTCATCTTTTCAGTTCCTGATCTCAAGCCTAAATCTAAGGCGCTTGCCTTTGATGGCGTCTGACCCTGGGGCTCACAAAGCCCCCAGCCATCCAACAGGAAGTACATCCCGCTGAGCCTCAAAGCATCTCATCCTTGGGACAGGGGACAGGGGCCAGGACTCCACGATGTTTGAGCAAGTGTTGTTTTTGTCGGAAGCTGCGCCCACAGGCAGTGCACAAGTAAGGCCGCTCTCCCGTGTGGTTGCGCCGGTGCCGCGTCAGGTTTGGCTTTTGGCTGAAGCGCCGGCCACACTCGGGGCATGGATAAGGTCGCTCGCAGGTATGGATGCGCTGGTGGATGTTCAGCGAGCACCACCAGGAGAAGCTCTTGCCGCACTCACTGCAGATGAATTTACGAGGCTGGCCAGGTACAGAGGTCATAGCCACTGAGCCATGAGAAGCCGGCCTGCCCCACCACCGGGGACAGGGCCTCAGCCAGGCCCACTTGGGGGATCCTTGCGGCACTGGCAGGGGTGAGTAAGACTGGTGGGTCACCGTGGCTCTGAGGTGCTTCTGCCCCGCCAACTGGCAGTCTCGGGCGTAGGCGCGCTGGTGAGTGCGGAGGCCCACCTTGTGTGGGAAGCAGAGGGCGTTCTTCGGACAGGCGTGGGAGGCAGGGCTCCAGTGCGTCTTCTGATGCTTGAGCAGGTGCTGTTTCTGGCTGAAGCGACACACGCAATCGGGACAGGGGTAGGGCCGCTCGCCCATGTGGTGCCGCTGGTGCCGAGTCAGGTTCGGTTTCTGGCTGAAGCTCTTGCCGCACTTGCCACAGAGGTACGGTTTCTCCCCGGTGTGGGTCCGCTGGTGGATCTTCAGAGATGACCACCAGCTGAATCTCTTCCCACAATCCGGGCACACAAAGTGGCCCTCAGGAGTGGTGTGTGGGGCACTCGGTGAAACGGGGGCTGCTGAGGGAGCCTGGCCTGCCAGACCCCCATCCTTCTCAGGGACAGGGTCCCACCTTGGACCCTCAGTCTCTTCTTGTCTTGGCATGGTACCTTGTCTCTCCGAGAGCACAGCCCCCGGGGTGCCAGTGTCTGCAGCAGCCACTCTTGCTTCTCCTGCTTAATCTTCATCCCCAGCCCCTCCTGCCAGAGGCAAAGGGAAGAGAGGATAGGAAGAGATTACTTACTATTCCAGACTGTCACTGCAGGATGGGAGCCAGAGAACAGGCCAAGATGGAAGGAAGTGGCAAGGAGAGGAAAGAATAGAAATACAGTGAGGTGTCAATCTGCACATCCTCACCTCTGACAACCCCTCCCCACCCAAAAAATAAATAAAACAACCCACAGGGTTTCCCATGATCACTGTCAGCTTTCATAATTTGCAGGACTCAGAAGTCAGAACACTATACTGAGGATCACAGTTTTATTACAGTAAAAGGAGACAAACCAGAGAGAGAGGCCCAAAGCGTGAGGTCAGGGAAGATTCCTAAATACAAAGCTCTGTGCCCCTGAGCTCACTCAAGCATTGATATCATGAGTCTGTACAGAGGACTGATTGGATCAGCTTCAGCCATCTCACCCCCCGATAGGGCTGATATCACATGGCTCTAAGTCCCAGCCCTCGAAGCACATGATTAGACTCCTTGGTGTGTCCCAAACCCACCCAAAACTATCAGAGTCACTTCATTAGCATGGTCCAAAAGGCCCACCATGAATAATCATTTCCCTCAAATCACTTGGGAACTTTCCATTGTCTCAGTGTCCCAGGGCTGCCATAATGAAATAGCACAAAGAACGTGGCTTTAAAGAACAGAAATTCAGTTTGTCACACTTCTGGAGGCTAGAAGTCCAAATCTGGGGTACTAATTTCTGTCTGTAGGCACTGAGGGGGAAAGTACTCCTGGTCTCTTTCAGCTTCTGTAGTCTCAGGCATTTCTTGTCATCTTTAGCTGATAAACGAACCTTCCCCTGTGCATACCTCCCTTTTTATCCAACACCATTCTGAAGAGATCAGGACTAAGACCTACCCTACTGCAGTACAACTGTGTCTGATGCAAATAATCACAAAAGAACAATCCACTTTCCCCAAACAAGGTCACATTCAAGGGTTAAGACTTCAATATATCTTTTTCTTTGGGAAAGGGACACAGTTCACTCCATAACACTGTGACCTGGGTCCCCTACCCCAAATTCAGGACCTACACATGTGCAGAATATATCCACCTGATCCTAGCATCCCCGAAAGTCTGAACTTATTTTACCATTATCTATAAGTCCCAAAGCTCATCATCTAACTCAGGTATGGATGAGACTCTGGGTATCCTGGGGCTAAATGCCTCTCCATCTGTGAACCTGTGAGACAGGAGATATAAGTTATCTGCCTCCAAAGGGCAATGGTTAGGAAGACATAAGACAGATATTCCACACCAAATAGAGAAATTGAAGGGTTGGGAGTGATGGGTACCAACTAAGTCCAAAATCTACCAGGGCAAATTCCGTTAGATTTCAAGACTTGGACAGAATCCTCTGTCCTCCAGATACATCTAGATGGTGCTCCTTTGGTCGTGAGAAGCCTCATTCTCTTGGTCCAATGGAACTGCAGGAATCAGAGTTTTCCTTCATTTAGTTTCATATCTGTCCCCATAAGTCGAAACAGGACCATTTCTGCTGAGATCGTTGGTTGTATATAGGTCACAGGCCTAACCTCTTAAGAAAACAGATGTCCTAATATATTCATGGTGTCCTCTACAGTGCATAGTTTAAAAATTTGTTACAAGAGAATGTCCCAAATCTTCAGATTTTGGTTCTTTTTTTTCACAATGCATTCCTTAATTTCTCTTTCTGTCTGCATTTTATTATAAGCAGCCAGAGACATCATGCTTGGTAAAGTGGAGGGTCAGTTAAAACGTGGAAGGCTCCCAACAAGATGGATTGGCACAATGGAAGCAGCAGTGGTTTCACACTAGCGGGCAGTGTTTTGTTCTGTTGTGCATAGTCTGGCTATGGATGGATACCAAGAAGCTAGGAGACTGGGGACTTTAGACCCAGAGAAGGAGAGGGGCTATGTGCTGACAACCAGGGGGTGGAGGGCAGGCTTGCAGGATATACCCTTTGGTTGGTTGATGATGCATGGAGGGGATTGTAGCCATGGCAATGAAACGATATATGATAGGATGAATGTAAAGCTAATTTTCTCACATGTAAATGATCACATAATTCACAACATTAAGAAATTTTTAAAAAGAAACTAGGAGAAACTATGCTGCATCTTAAAGACAGTGCTTAGAAATATCAGCTAAATATCTAAGTTCATCACTTAAAAGTTATATTTTCCAGAAAACACTCAACATAATGTGGCCAAGTTCTTTGCCACTTATAACAACCATCACCTTTTTAATATTCACATTTCTAGCACCATTTTGCTCATGACAACTCTCCTCTATTTCTGAGCCATCATCAGAATTGCCCTTAATGGGCCATGTTTCTACCAACAGTGTCTTCAAAGCAATCTTGACTTTGACTATCAAATGCTTCAAAACTCTTCTAGCTTCTACTCATTGCCCAGTTCCAAGCCCACTTCCACATGTTTAGGTATCTGTTAGAAGAACACCCTAAATCTCAGCACAAAATTCTGTATCCTAGGGTTATGTGACGGTTAAGTACATGCATCAATTTTGCTCAGCTATGATTTCAGGGGTTTGGCCAGACACTGGACTTGGTGGTGTGATGTGATGAACCAATCAGTTGAAAGGGGAGTTCCTGTGGGGGTGTGGTCTGCTTCTAGGATATAAATGGATATTTTGGCTGAGCCCAGAGCTTTCACTCATCTCTGTACTCTTCTCATGCCTAACCTCTGGATCTGGAGGTGTATGCAGACTTGGATTCGCCAGTCCCCACAGCCCAATGAGTCAGCAGAGGCTTCCAGTCAGCTGCATGACCTATAGATTTGGGACTTTCCAGCCCCCACAACTGAAGGAACCATTTACTTGTAGTAAATGTCTACCTATATTTATATATGAGGGGGCTTCCAAAAATTCAGGGAAAATTCCATTATTTTTCAGTTCCATTTTTTCTACAAACTTTTTAAAGCCCCTCATATATATGTTGTGGTGTTGTTCAGTGCAGTCATTTCCAACCCACAGCAACCTTGAATAGAGTTTCCAAGGAGTTAGCAATTCAGTGCTCATCTTACAGCATCTCACCAGGACTCCCCCATATATATAGGTCTCAATGGTTTTGTTCCTCGAAAGAACCCATAAATACCAGAATCAGCAGTTTTAAAGAAAACAAATTCATTTTCTCACAGTTCTTAAAGCTAGACTAGATGTCCATCCAAGTTCTGGGTGTCAGCAGGATGTTTGTTCTGCCTCTGTCAAATCTAGAGGGAAGTCCTTTCTTGTCTCTCTCAGCTTCTGTAGCTTTGGGTGTTTCTCAACTTATAAAATGAGACCACTCAGAAGGGTTCAATACGGGGAGCGACTTGGCTTCTGCTGTTGGACACGGTCCCAGCAGGAGAAACATCATGCAAAGCAGATAATTCTCAGAAGCTGGCCTCTATCTTCCCTTCAAGTTAACTCTGAATTCACTTGTAAAAATATACAATATTGCCATATTCACAGCCTTTACTGTGAGCTCTGCAAACCTTGGGGGGAAAAATCAGTCTAGCAACAATGATCTCAACTTCAGTAGTTTGAATTCAAAGAGAATTGTATAAATTACTCCCTTTCACAGAAAACCTAAGTACAAAGTAACTGCCATTTATGAAACCACAAAAGCAGATAACAAATTAAAGTCAAGCTGACCGACCCCTATAGACCTCACCACAATCAGTCACCAGCCAGAATTCACAAACCCCTACATACAAGCCCCTGCGTAAATAGGCAGAAAATAATGAACTCAAGTGAAGGGTAGTTTTAACTTGATAATCTACATTTCCTGCAGCAATTAGCCAGGTTGGGCTTTATGCCACATAACTTCAAAAGAAAGAAACATAAAAATACTGTTATCAAGCAATTTAATGAATACTTTAGAAAACCAAACAAGTAGATGTTAATAATACTTTTACTATGAAAATAGTAGTACATTATGTAGAAGATTGATAATTAGTTAGTAGAAATAATAAAGTAGTGCAAGCATTGATGATTAATAGAAACTTATGTTACTAAGAAGATGTAATCAAAGGTCTGATAAGTAGAAATGATTTGTGTAAAGTTTGACTTAATCTTTTAGTGGAAACAAGAAGAAACAATTTATCACTAACTTGGGAGAGAAGATGAAAGTCAGTTTGAACATCACAGAAATATTTTTGTCAAAGTTGTCTAATGACCAGGTGTAGGAATGTTGTGATAAACTGTGTAATAATTCAAGGAAAGATCAAAGTGTCAATTCATTATGTACCGTGTAGTTTTAAGTATAAAAATAAAGACTTGCTGAGCTGGGCCAGAGAGTGAGAAAAAGAGAGCCCCATCAGCCAACTAAGCAGAGGCTCCTGATCGCTTTCATTTTCGCCAGTTCTGCGTCTCCTCTCGTGTCCCCAGCCTACTCTGATATGACCTCATTTGGCTCAACTGATAACAAAAGAAAAAGTCTTTTCCCTAAAACAAGGTGATGTAATTGATGTCTTCACCCGTGGACAGAAGAAGCCATAATGGAAAAGGTGTGCTGCGCACACAAAAGAATACAGACAACATCACTGTATCACTCCATTCAGATAGTTTGATAACTTGGGAATCAGAATGATGACTCCCTTCATAGAAGGCACTATGATAAAAGGGACCATGGGAGCTTCTGGGGTCCTAGGGTGTTCTTTCATTTTCTGGTGCTGGTTACATGGAATGTACACTTTATAGGCACTTACAGATTGTGTGAAATATGTACTTCCCTGTATGTGTGTTATACTTCTCTTAAAATGTTCTGGTGTGGCGCTGTAGCATAAACACTGAACCGAAAGGTATGTTTGAATTGTAAAGTCGGTGGTTCAAAATTACCAGCTGCTCCTTGGAAACCCTATACAGAGTCACTGTGAGTCAGAACCGACTCCATGGCACTTAACAACAACAACAAAGTAAAAGGGGAGCTCTGGTGGCCCAGGGGTTAAGTGGTCATCTGATACCCTAAGTTGACAGCTTGAAGCCACCAGCCAC